AGGGTGAGAGGGAGATGGGAGGTGGGCAGGGCCCTTTTAAAAGGGAACAAAGTGAATATGCACATGTGGTGCTCTTATTGGCTGCAGCTGAGGGCATATCCTGTCAGAACCCCAAGGTCTGATATACTAACACAGGGAAGTTTTGTTCTTCGAATACCCAGGATGTGCAGGACCAGAAAAGGCCACTGTGGAATGGTGTGGTTGGAGGGAATGGCCGGGAAAAGACTACCATCTCCCCTTTCCACATCAGAGGCTGTAGATAACAGAGGCTCCATTCATTCTCTGTACCACACATCACGTGGAACAGACAGCCAGAGGGACCTGAGGACTTTACCTTTCAGCTCAGCCCAGCCCAAAGTATTCTTTTTCTCTTTTTTTAATTTGCATATCTCATGATGGTTTTACTTTTTCTGTATACTGCTCAGCTAAGTTTTAGGCCTTTTGTTTGTGTTTCTTTACCCAGTTTACTATACTTTACTCTTTGGACATCTCTCATATGCTATCCCTCATATTCCTATTTCTTTAGCTCCTCCTCCTCCTCCTCCTCCTCCTCCTTCTCTCTCTCTCTCTCTCTCTCTCTCTCTCTCTCTCTCTCTCTCTGAGACAGCCTGTGTAGCCCCGCCTGTCCTACTGTCCTAGAACTCACTCTGTAAATGCCTCCTTGAGCTCAGAAATCCACCTGCCTACCTAGTGCTGGGCTTAAAGGTGTGTGCCACCACCACCACCACCTGACCTTTTTTTAAAGGCCACTCTCTGCATGAGAGTGTCTGAATCCCTGGAACTGGAGTTAGAGAAAGTTGTGAGCTCCCATGTAGGTGCTGGGAATTGAACCTGGGTCCTTAGGAAGATCAGCCAATGCTTTTACCCACTGAGCCATCTCTCCAACTCCCTCTTTTTTACTCCTTACTTTTAGCCTTCTGTAGCTTTAACAGACTCTAAAATCTATGGACGATAACTGTCTCAACTTTCCCCTCCTAGCTACTCACCTCCATTTTTTTCTTTCCAAAGTCAATCTAATCCTTAAGCCTTACCCAGGCTACCTTTTCAAAGTCCATCTAAATACTTACTTTTTCCTACCCATGCTCTCCTTTCAAAGTCCACCTAATACTTAATCCTTATCCTTACCCACCATATCTCCCTCCCAGTCCTAATCTTATTAATTGAAATCCAGTTTGTTCTCCAAGTTGTTGACCTCAAAGGGGCCATTGTCATTAATTGACTAGTATAATAATTGCTTAGTAGCTACTCTGATAATGCTTCTTACATCACTGGGGGGTGGGATGTACTGGCTTAAGTCCCGAGTGCTGGGACTAAAGGTGTGCACCAAAACCACGCAACAATTTTTTAAATTTTAAAAAGAAAAATATCTAGGACAAACTATAAAACAAAACAAAAAAAACCCGAAAACACAGGTGGAGCATCCATAGTTTCAAAATCAGCAATGTTGCAAAACATGAAACTTTCTGGGGAGTAAACTCAGTGGCTTTGTGCTTGCTGGGGAAACCCCCTACAATGTCACTGGCAGCCTTTCTCCCTCCCTCCTTCTGTCCCTTCCCTTCTTTGACCAAGGGTCTTGCTAATAGCTCAGGCTGGCCTCAACCTCAGTTCTCCGACTCCAGAGTGTGGGTTACACCCTGGTAACACCAGACAGGCAGTATGAACTTTCTGAATGCTGAAATGATATCACAATAGAACTCCTGTGTCCTGGAGCCACAACAATGGTGTATAACAAGGTTAGGTCATTGTTAAAGACTGTCCCATCCCTTTACATGAGACACACAAGATTGGTTTCATGTACAAAATCATAAATATTTTGTATAATCTCCAGCCAATTGAATATTATATATATATATATTTGAAATTCAATACATATTGAAATAAAAAATCTGCCAGTGGATTGTAAATCCTGAAGTAAGTAGCTTTCTAAATATGGATTATTCAGAGGTTGGAGAGATGACCCAGTGGTTAGGAGCACTATACTTTCCCAGAGGACAGGTTTGAAACTCAGCATCCACTTGGCAGCTCGAAACCACAGCCATCTGTAACTTCAGTTCCAGGGAATCCAATGTCCTCTTCTGGCTTTTGCCAGCACCAGGCAGGCAAGTGGTACACAGAGACATATGATGGCAAAACACCCCTTTAAAAATTATGGAATATTCAACCTACACACCTGAAAAATGTTCTCAGTAAAAACAGAAGTGGGCCGGGTGGTGGTGGCTCACGCCTTTAATCTCAGCACTCCAGAGGCAAAAAAAAAAAAAAAGAAAAACCAACAAAAAGAAGAGAAGAAAAAAAAAAACCCCCTTTCCAAAACCCAAAAAAAACCCCTTCAAAAAAAAAAAAAAAAAAAAAAAAAGAAGTTGGTTTTGAATAGTAACAATCATCTCTACAATCAACTCAAATGTATGCCGAGGGAGCACAGGGGAAGGCAGGACAGCGAATGCATGACCACACGCATGCTAACCACACACTTCACCACTGAGCTACACACCCAGGCCCATGTCAGTTATCAACAGAGAAAGGTCAGTTGTCACTGTCTACAAACCCAGCAGGGAGCAGAGGAAAGTGAAGGCATTCTCAGGCTCTCCTATCTTCCTCCAGGGAGGGAGGAAGCCCCCATGAGTGAGAAACAACCTAGCTCATGACAAGGGGACAAGGCTATACCTGTTCTGCTACAGCCATCCTTCCTGCTGCTGGCACAGTGCCAGGCCCACAGTTTGATTGAATGTGTGGCATTTTAGGGGTATGTGGAGGACTATGCATATCCCATGCACCAGGCTGGCCTTGCTTCTAACAAGGCAAAGGCGGTACAGCTGGGTGGTCTAGGATCATCAGGGAAGAAGTTTGTAAGGAAGCTGTGACTTCAGCTAGGGGAAGGAGGAGGGACAGAGAGAATCCTGGCAGAGGGAACTCTAAGAAAGAAATGTCCAGTGGTGTGTGTGTGTGACAGAGAGTGCAAATAAATGGTCTGCTTCTAATGAGCCTGATCTCTCCCATGTTCGGTGGTGTGTGTGTGTGTTCCTGCGTGTTCCTGTGTGTTCCTGTGTGTTCCTGCGCACATGCAAATAAATGGTATGCTTCTAATAAGCCTGATCTCTCCTGGGATTACTGAGGAGTTACCTGCCGCCAAAACGTGTCCAAATATGACCTCGGACACCTCTTCTGGAGCCACCTTGGCCCTCTGCAGGACTTCTTTGATGACAGTTGTCCCGAGGTCGTGGACAGGCACAGTAGACAGGGCACCATTGAAGGAGCCTACAACGGAACCGGGAAGAGGGGCGGCATCTGAGCCAGGAGCACCTGAGCATCACCGAGGAGTAGGATGGGGCCACATGCAAAAGGGACTTTAAACCGACACTTCACCAAGCCCAGGACTGCTCAGAGCCTGAGCTCAGACCACCAGTGTCTGGCACTCGCCACCACAGGATGACCGATGGGCCACTATGCAAGCCAAGCGGTACTCTGTGCACCTGCTGGGTAGCGGATGGGAGACCTTCGGGGATACCCACCTATGGCAGTCCGCGCCGCTGAGACGATGACCACTGGGTCGGAGCCTAAGTTCATCCTGCTGCTCCGCTGCGTCTGCACTGCTCTGGCAGCAATTGAGGAAAACTTTGCTGAATCTGGACTGAGTTGGGGACTGAGCCTAATGCCACCGCGCCGCGCCCCGCCCCAGAATCCCGCCTCCACCAGTCACCTCCCACCCCCAGGCTCAGGGAGAGGGCCGGGCTGTGAGCAGAGTGGCTGCGTGTCGGCGTGGTGTAGACCGTGTAAGGTCGGTATTGGATAGAGACCTCGGGATTCCTGGTATTTAGGTTGCTGTGGGCGTGGTGAGCGTGCAAAAGGCCTAGGTACTGGGGGAGTCTCAGGCTGTGGACTTCGGACACATGCAACACACCCCCTCGAATCTTTCTCTGTACCAGTGGGGGTCATAGTCCCCTTTCTCACTCACATCGTGGGTTCTGTGTTTTGTGTATTTTTGAAGCAGTGAGGGTGACTAGAAGTCTACCTCTGCTTCAGCTGCGAATAGAATTTCCCTGGCAGAATTCCTGAAACCTGCCCAGAGCCAGGGGGAGCAGGATACAATGTGAGTCAGCTAGAGGGGACTTGTAGATTCTTCTGAGTGTGCCTGAAAATGGCAGTTCACTGGTCAAGGGGAGAACCCCAGGGCTTAGGATGGGGCCGCTTCTAGAAGGTGCTCTGTGGATCCTCTTCACTGAAGACCTCTTAGGGCCATGGATGACTGCTGTTTATAACACCTGCGGCCAAAGTTAGAATTTGCCAGGACTTTCTAATTACCACTACTATGTTAGAAATGGGCCCGGGTCTGTCCTCGCAAATGCACATGCAATAGGGACTTTAAACTAACACTTAGAAACCCTCAGTTGGTGGGCAAGCAGGAGGTTTTATTTTTGCAGAGGGCACACGAACTGTGATAAATCTTGGAGGCTGTGGTTGAGGCTGGGCTTTCAGATACCTCACTCCAGGTTGCTCACTCTAGGTTGGTCTCACATTATTTTTCCTAAGGGAAAAAAATTTTTTTTTAGTATTTTTTTCTTTCTTTTTCCTTTTTTTCTTCTTTTTTGGTTTTTCGAGACAGGGTTTCTCTGTGTAGCTTTGGAGCCTATCCTGGCACACGATCTGTAGACCAGGCTGGCCTGGAATTCATAGAGATCCACCTGCCTCTGCCTCCCAAGTGCTGGGATTAAAGGCGTGGACCACCACTGCCCAGCTAAGCACATACTATTATCTGAGAAAAATGTTGATTGGGGAGGGGCTTTGGCAGGTGATGTCTTTTTCTAATTAAAGGTCCTTGGTCTCATCTAATCTTTTGATAGAAAAGAGAATATTTCACTTATATTTCCCACTATACCTTGTGCTATACCTTTTGCAGATTCGTTCTGGCTATCCTTCTCACCTCCCACTCCCTTACAGGCCAGCTGCAGAGCCCCCAGCGCTCTGAAAGGAGAGCCATCCTGGTTTGCATCTGCAGCTGCATGTTTTTTTTTCCATTCCATTTTCCCCCTACTCTGTGGCCATTCTTCAGTCCCCTTTGTGGGCTCACTCTGACTGCCCCTTACCCAACCTTGCAGCAGCTCCCTGGGAAACATGTCCATCCCAGTCACCACCCGTTATACTGACAGCTCTGAAATCCTTCTATATGCTTATGAGCAAACTGGGCCTCTCAATTTAAATTTCCTAGGACTGGAGTTCAATTCCCAGTACCCACATCTCTTTACAACTACCTGTAACCTCTAGCTCCAGGAGTATCCATTGCCCCTGGCTTCAAGCTCTGTACTCACATCTAGTGCCCCTGCTCCATTTAAAAACCGGGTTAGAGAGATGGCTCAGTGGTTGAGTACTTGCTGCTCTTGCAGAGGACCTGGTTGGGTTCAGTGTTAGCAACCACATGGTGGTTCACAACTCCAGTTCCCGGGGATCTGAAGCTCTAGACCTCTAACCTTCGAATGTGCATACACATTCATGGGAACACACATATATACATAAACCTTTGACTGGTTTCTGCTAAATTCTTGTACAGCTATATGGCAAGTTCCTGAGGTAGAGGCAGAGTATGCTTCTGTAGACCTGTAGCCCTAGCCTGTAGTGGCTGGCTAGGTAGGAGCATATTCTAAAATAATGATTTGTCATGCCAGGCAGTGGTGGCACATGCCTTTATCTCAGCACTCAGGAGACAGAGACAGGCAGAGCTCTGGGAGTTCGAGGTTAGCTTGGTCTACAAAGTAAGTTCCATAACAGCCAGGGATACACAGAGAAACCATGTCTCAATAAGTGAAAACAATAATAATGATTAGTCAAGTCTTAGCTTCAAATGTCTACAACAGGTGGATTATTAGGGAGGTGGGCAGGGTCCTATTTATTTATTTATTTATTTATTTATTATGTATACAACATTCTGCTTCCATGCATAGCTGTACACCAGAAGAGGGCACAGATCTCATAACGGATGGTTGTGAGCCACCATGTGGTTGCTGGGAATTGAACCCAGGACCTCTGGAAGGGCAGTCAGTGCTCTTTACCTCTGAGCCATCTCTCCAGCCCTCCCAACAGTTGGATTATTAAAGTCTAGGAGTTGTGATCAGCACAGTGGCCTCATGTCACAAGCTAGAAAAAGAATGTAAAATAAAAGCACAGTTAAGTACACAAAGTCCATTATTTATTATCAAGTTTCAGATACTGTGTGTAGCTGCTATACTTTTCTTTTTTCTGTGTGTTTTTTGAGATAGGGTTTCTCTGTGTAACACTGGCTATCCTGGAACTAGCTCTGTAGACCAGGCCTGCCTCCACCTCTCGAGTGCTGGGATTATAGATGTGTGCGACCACTGACTGGCTAAAAACTTTATGTAGTATGCCACTGTGCAAGTTAGTACAAACCATCTTGGCTGTAGTCCTATTTGTTAGTGGTGCATTGCACTGACTACAGCTGATGTGACATCACTCAGGGGTAGGCATTTTTCACTCCATTATACTTTTAGGGGACTGCTGTTGTGTATTTGGCCCATCACTTTGCTTAAGATTGCCAGTGTGTGTGACTATCTCCTAGCAGGGTCATCTGAGGAACATAGAGGCTTGTTAGAAATGTCCCTAATAAATGAACTCTGCTTGCCTGCCCCAACCCCATCTTTTGCTCCAGGCCTCCCTGGCTGTACCTCTCAGTTACATATTGTAACTATGACTTTTCTGTTCATGCTGCCTGTCCTTAGTGCATTCTTATGTTCTAGCTTTATTTCTCTTGTCCTGATAAAAGTCTTTGACAAAAGCAACATAAGAGAGGAAAGAGTTTATTTGGCTCTCAGTTCAAGGTTACAGTCCATCATTTTGGGGAAGTCAAGGTAGGAATTTGAAGCAGGTAACATTCTATCCAGTAAGGAGCAGAGAGAAATAAATACATCGAAACTGCCTGCTGCTCACTTTTCTACTCCCAGGGGTACACTTGTTAGAATGCCCACAGCCTTTTGGTCTAGAATACCTGGAACACAACGGCATCAGCTTGGTCATTGAGTCACATTTTCACCATTACAAGATTGGTCTTGATTTGATCAACGGGAAACCAGAAGACAACAAGGAAGGAGAGGTATTTGAACCAATTTAAAATGAAGAGCCTGAAGTTTGCAACAGAAGCCCCAATCACCATTCTTTGAATGGCTCATTTTGAGGTCCAGGCATGATGGCACACACCTTTAATTCCAGTGCTCAGGAGGCAGAGGCAGGTGGATCTCTGGGAGTTCAAAGCCTGGTCTACCAAACAATCTTGAGGCTACATAGTGAGGCCCTGTCTCAAAAACAAAACAAAACAATGATCAGAGAACATTATACCCAGAAAATAAAGACCCTAAGTTATGAAAACGCTGTACATTGGAGCCCTTGATGACTGACTGGATTTCCCTTTTATTTATAGCAGTGTCAGGTGCAATGAAGTCTTGGGTATCTCACATTAAAGTACAGCTGTGTAACAGCTATCCACCTGGGTTCCTGCACTCATTTTGGTCCTCTGATTTCACACATTAGTTAGTGTTTCACTCATTTAACAAGAATCCTTTAAGGGCAATGGCTGTCAAGCAGCTCATCCTCTCTGAACACACATTGCTATCCCCATCCCACCCCCAATGCACAGGGCTGCCACACCACGAGTCCCGCCCGTTCTCTCAAGGCTGTGTAACAAGGTCACTAGAATCCTACAGCCAGATGCTCCCAGGGGATGGCCCAAGGCAATGGCTCCTCCATCGATGTTGACCTACAGGGAAGGAGAGGATCTTTAAGTCAGGCTTCTGTGGACACAGGCTAACACCCCAGTTATCTTTCTCCTCTCAGTGTTATGCTGGCACTTCATATCCCCCCCCCCCCCCCCCCGCCAATGTCATTGTAAAGCTTAGGAGTAAACACTGTCTGTGACACCTGCTGATTCCCTTGTTTCTGGAAATGTCCTATTCATCGTGAACTAACATACTAAGTTCTTTGCTGTGAAAAACAACAAATAAGTCAACTGAAACTTAACTAGTATTTGTTCATCTCTTGCCAAGGTGACTGGTCCTGGGAAATGACCTCATTTGTTGTTTTTTATGGCCTTAAGTATGGATTGTGCAAGTTTGCTGGCAAACCACACAACTTGATGTTGGTTACCTTCTCAGTGTTTAATCCAAGTTCTTTAGCTATTGCAGCAGACACTGCTGCGAAGGCTTCATTGATTTCAAACAGGTCAACATCCTCCAGGGACCAGCCTGCTTTTGCAACCTACAGGAAAGAGGAACCAAAGTCAAATCATTCATTACTAACATAAAGGTATAGACATGAGGTGCTGGAGAGATGGCTCAGTGGTTAAGAATACTAGCTGCTCTATCATGAGGAGGGCTCACAAGTCCTTGTAACTCCAGCTCCATGGCATCACATGCCCTCTTGTGGCCTCCATGGGCACCTGCATGCTTGCACACACACTGATTAAAAAGGAAGAAAGGGTGTACATGATATATGTGATATACCCCTCAAAGACACACCTCTTAGTAAACTGCCTATGAAGTTAGGTGTGCCTTGGAGGCTTCCATCTGTAAACCAAGGGCTGTAGAGGCTACAGTCAGCCTGCATAGTGATACCCCACCTGAAACCACTGTCAGTATGGATTGTTACTATCTGAGCCCAGGGACAAACATTTTTCCTAAGTGAAGCTGACTCCATTCAAAAGGCAGATGGTGTTTTCTTGGTAGATGTGGTCACACACACACCTGTAATCTCAGCACCTCAGAAGCTCAGGAAGCACAGTGTCTAAATTTATACAGTATAAGGCCCAGCCTCAAAACCAAAAGGATATACTCTAACTACCCCTTAATGGAGAAAGTTTAAACTGTCGGAATGATGAAACAAACAGCATCTGTTATGTGCAGGTAACACACCACACTTGGATCTGACTTTAAAAAAAGTCTAGGGGCTGGAGAAATGGCTCAGCACCTGATGCTCTTCCAGATGACTTACGTTTGGTCCCCACACTCACTGTCATAAGACAGTCTGTAACTCTCCCAACACTTCCGACTGGCACACAAGTGGTTTGCAGACATATATACAAGCAAAACACCCATGT